ATGGCTTTTGGACATTATCTTGAACACATCCTTTCTTTCTGGCCACAAAAGGTGTTCTCTCCTCATTTATACATTCCCTTTTCCAGCCTTGAATTTATTAAATTTCTTTTAATGGATAATGGTATTTAGAAACCTAACATATGGGGTGCTAAGTGTGCTTATTGCTACTGAGGTGTTATTGCTTCTAGGACTTTTCAGCAGAGAGACTTGTGTGGACTCATGACTTCAGTCCAATCAATTCTACAGGGCTCTTTCTTGCCTTACTCTTTTTTTTTTTTTTTTTTTTTTTTAAAGACAGGATCTCCTTCTGTCACCAAGCTGCAGTGCAGTAGTATGTGGCATGATCACAGCTCACTGAGCCTCAACCTCCTGGGTGCAAGCAATCCTCCCACCTCTGCCTCCTGAGTAGCTGGGACTACAGGAATGAGCCACCACTCCTGGCTAATTAAAAAAAAAATTATTTCGTAGAGATGGGGTCTTGCTATGTTGCCCACGCTGGTCTCAATCTCCTGGGCTCCAGCAATCCTCTCGCCTTGGCCTCTCAAAGTGCAGGGATTACAGGAATGAGCCACTGTGCCCAGCCTGTCTTCCTCTTTTTAGCATTTGTATTTCCCTTTTCCGAAGTACAAACCCTGGCTCCCAGTAACATCAGTACATTCATACATTGCTCAGTCCTACAATATATATAAGATAGTTTCAGAATTTCTATATCCATATACTATAAGAATCAAATTTACTAAGAAGAGTTAAAAAGTTTTGCATTCTTTTATTTTTTTCCTTCAATGTGGTCTTGGTGTTGTTATTCACATGAAATCCACTTGAGCTAATTTATTCCTATTTATATTCAGTTTCAGAGTTTTCCCCACCCTTGTTGATTTAATTTTATTTTTTGTATATAGAACATTAGTATACTTTCAAAAGTTAATACTGTATAAAAGATACAGTCAAGGAACTGTCACTCCATCTTTCACCCTCTTCTCTACACTGCCCCCTCGCCACCTGCCAACTCCATCTCTTTCGGCAACCAGTTTCTGGTCTATTCTTCCCACATTTTTCAGATACATGTAATCTTTATTATCTCTTCTGCCTTCTGGCAAAATATTGCTCTTTGCTTTTTCCATTTATCGATATATCCTATAAATCACTATTATTTCATAGTAATCTTCCTCATTATTTTATTTTTATGGTTGCATATACTCTATATATGCAACTCTATATAGTAAGGATATACTATAGTTTTTTTCAACAAGTCTTCTATTTTGGGCCTTTCAGAAGGAGGTTTGCAATATTTTGCAATTGCAAATAATACTACAATGAAAAATTTTGTGATTTATATTTTCATTTGCTGGAGGTATATCCTAAGGGTAAAGTTATAGCTCTTACATCTTTATTGCAGAATATGTCTCTTAGGATTAAAAAGTGTTTTCATTTGTCTCTTGCAGTGGCCTTTGACCTGAATTCTACTCCACCATCAGAGTCCAGTTGTCTGCTTTTCAACTGTTTTCTCTTTACTTAGTATATATTTACCTATCCCCTGATGTTAGCCTTTCTGAATCACTGTCTCATTTCTTGTCTTGTATTTAATAGAGTGATCAACCAACCTGGTTTGTCTGGGCCTGTTTTGAAAGTCCAGAGTCCCAGGAAATCCCTCTATCTTGGGCAAACTGGGATAGTTAGTCACCCTATGTATCAAGCATAGGTTTGGGTTTTGCTTTATTGAGATGATTTTAGCATATTTTTCCTGTAATAGATGTGTTATGTTTATATTTATTGATGTGACTAATATGTTTGGTCTCAATGTATTCTGTTATACTTAAACTGTGTCTTTTTCATTGCTTGTTTATCTTTTTTGCTCCTTAAAAACTTATTTTGGTGTTTAGCAAAGTTTGTATTTTTGTTCCAGTGGTCATCTTTGTATTTATACCTTTTCTTGTGCCTTTTGTATTAATACCTTTTCTAGTTCTCATTTTTCTTAATCTTTTAGTCTTGTGTTTGCCAATTTTAATTGGAATCCTTTACCTACTACTATACATATCAAGCTGTAATCTATTCTATTAAATAGTTTTCCCTTTTTCTCTTCCTTCTTCCATTTTTCAAAAGTTGCATTCTTTCTTCTTCATCAAAAAGAAATGTAATATTTGCATACTCTTTCCACCCTGCATTAGTCAGGGTTCTCAAGAAGGACAGGACTGATAGGATAGATGTATACGTGAAAGGGAGTTTATTAAGGAGTACTGACTCACACGATCACAAGGCGAAGTCTCACAATAGGCCATCTGCAAGCAGAGGAGCAAGGAAGCCAGTCTGTCCCAAAACCTCAAAAGTAGTACAGCCTTCAGTCTGTGGCTGAAGACTCGAGAGCTCCTGGCAAACCACTGGTGTAGGTCCAAGAGTCCAGAAGCTAAGGAACTTGGAGTCCAATGTTCAAGGGCAGGAAGCATCAGCCTGGGAGAAAGATGGAGGCCAGGAGACTTAGCCAGCCTATTCTTTCCACATTCTTCTGCCTACTTTTATCCTAGCCCTACTGGCAGCTAATTAAATGGTATCCACTCAGATTGAGGGTAGGTCTGTCTCTCCCAGCCCACTGACTTAAATGTCAATCTCCTTTGACAACACCCTCAGGAACATACCCAGGAGCAATACTTTGCATCCTTCGATCCAATCAAGTTGACACTCAATATTAACCATCACACACCCATATCTTCTCCCTTACTTTAGTCTTAACTCTGCAATTAAATATATTAACTTCTCTCCCTAAGTATTTTTTTTTTTTAGACAGTGTCTTACTCCATTGCCCAGGCTGGAGTGCAGTGGTGTGATCTTGGCTCACTACAATCTCCACTTTTCAGGTTCAAGCAATTCTCCTGCCTCAGTCTCTCAAGTAGCTGGGATTACAGATGTACCATGCCCAGCTAATTTTTATATTTTTAGAAGAGATGGGATTTTGCCATGTTGGCCAAGCTGGTCTCGAACTTCTGACCTCAAGTGGTATACCCACCTTGGCCTCCCAAAGTGTTGGGATTACTGGCGTGAGCCACTGTGCCTGTCTTCTCCGTAAGTCTTAAATGCTGAAGTTTTCCCCACTATCTTTTGGTTTGGTTGAAGCTCATCTTTTAGTAGATTTCTTGGGAGGGGCTCAAGAGTAAAGTGTTATTAGAATGCCTGTTTCATGTATCTTTAAAATAGCCTTGATTCTTGAATGTTGTTACTTTGTTGGATAAAAATAGACTTGGTTGGATAAAAATCCTTAGCTTGACTTTTCTTGCCTTGAACTTTATAAAAATACAGCTCTACAGTTGCATTGTTTTGCATGTTGCTCTTGAGAAATATGATGCTAGTATTCTTTTTTATCTTTATGGAGAATTTGGTCATTTTTCTGTAGGAAAGGTGTATTATAAAGCCTAATAATTTTATTAGGACATATCTTGGAGTTGATCATTATGAGCCAGTTTTTCTAGACACATAGTGAGTCCTATCCACATACTGATTTTTCTCTTATTCCTTAAATTTTTCTTGGATTATAACTTTAAACATTAATTTCTCCTTCATTGTTTTGTTTTTCTTCTTTGAGGATTTTTCATTTTCCTGCCTTCTAATTCACCCATTTTTCTCTGACCCTTTATTCTTTCTCTATCTCATTATCATTTTCTTCACTGGCTTCTCTAGTCTTCTTCAATGCCCCTTATAAAGCTTTTATTTGAATCGATGCTACATTGGGCCGTAATTTAGTATTTATTTCTGGGATGGTGTGTCTTTATAAAAAAAATTCTTTCCTGAGTTGATCAACACTTATTTCATTTTTTCTTTCTTCTCTTTGGTCAGCTTCTGTTTTAATTGTTGAATAAATGAATGAATTATTGATTGTAGGCTTAAAAAATCTCCAAATGCTTGTTTGAAGATACTTAATTCAGTTTGAAATCTAATGTTTTTCACTTCTGTTTTTCTGTTATTTTGGAGGAAGAATTTTTGTCATCTGAAGATTTCTCCCCATTTTCTCCTTGTAATAGCTTTTAAAGGAGTTGGTCTGATTTTCCTTATTGGTAGTCATTTCTTGGTCATGGTTTATGTGTACCCTCTTCTTTCAGTGTATTGAAGTACAATTTCTTTAAATGGATGAAGTTGTAATTGATGGGAGGTAAGGGGAGAGGAGAGCCATAACCTGTTGTTCTCTTCTTCTGTTTTTCTGGTATGCTTAATTTTCCCCCTTACATCCTTCTTTCTTTTCCCTGCCATGTTTGCAGGGATACGTCTTCTTCTCTGACGCCTTCACCCCAGAAGCAGTGCTCATCATGACAAACTACTTCTGGTCCTTCTTTTTCAGGTCCTTTCTTCATGGCCATTGCTGAACTACCAACTCCTAGACCTGTGGTCAGAATTTTTGTGCTCAGTGTTGAACTTTCTCTTTCTCAGGATGATTTTGTCTATGCTTCCTTTGTGTTTCCTACTCCTCTCTATTCTTTTCCAGAGTCTCTTAAGATTCCTGTTTCCTTGCCCTGTCCCCATAGTGTATGTGTGTGCATGTATACATATATATATGTGTGTGTATATATATGTGTGTATGTGTGTGTGTGTGTGTGTGTGTGTATATATATATATACACACATACACACACACACATACATATATATATATATATATATATATATATATATATATATATTTGAGTAGAGATTCAGATTCAAGGTATCTCCTATACTGGGGCCAACTGGAATTCTCCTTATAAGCTTCTCAAGATACCCTACTAAATATTCAATGTTTTAACAAACTGAAAAACTGCGTAGTTTCTTCATCTTTCATGATTCCCTCTATTTTATATTTGTGTACATTTTTATTTCTCTGCTAACTTATTGAGGATAGGGATGAGTTTTTTTAATCATACTAATACCCCACTACCGAGGAGATCTGATACTAGAGACTCATACAGTAGTTGAGTTGAATTAATATTTCACCTAGTTATATTCTTCTTTCTCTTCCTAAATCTTAGTTTATCTACATTGTAGATGCTGAGAAAAACTCTTCAAGGATCTGATACTGAAGAACCAGAAACAACACAGGAGACGCCAAATTTGGTACCATTTGGTGATGTGGTATGTATGAGTAGCCCTCAAAAACCTATATAAGTTATTTATTATTTGATAATCAAAAAGTATATGCAGAAAATGGTTCTCTTTGATAACATATTTATGAATTTTTCATTTTTATGAATCAGAAAACATTGCAACAATCACTGAAATGATAGAAAACATCCTGATTCACAGAAATAATATTTTCTATATTAGGAATTCCCAAATCTAGTTACATCAGAATTACCTGGGATGGTTTTTATAAAACATTAACTTGAGGCTCCACCTAAGGTCTGTTAACTTAGAATCTCTGAGAGAGGGGACTGGGAATCAGCAATTTTACTGAGCTTTTAAAGTGATTATATTTATTTGTTGATCATGCTAAAGTTTGAAAATTGACCTGTGCCCCTCCCACATCCAAAAAACCTCCTAGAAACAAAAGCAAGCACTCTTTCTCTTTCACGCACACACACGACCCAATATCTAGGCTAAGAACCAGAAAAATCTGTTACTCTATTTTCAAACTACAGAGCAAGACATAAGAATCTACATGCATGTAGATCTGTCAAATATCATGGCATTCATTTACAGTTATCTTTATTTTCTGAACATGATTACAGTGGTAACTAGGTATGAAATAAGAATTTTTCTTGTCCCTCTTTGCTACCTCCTATCATATACAATGTTTAATGTAATATTTCTGTTATTTTTACTTGGTTTTAAAGACTAAAGATGGCTAAATATATCTGGCTAATTCTCATATTAGGATTCAAATGATCCTGCATTTATTTCATATTTGATTTTTTAGTTAAGCACATGATACAATTTTCTTTAACATTTAGAAAAACTTTGTACTAGAGAATGAATATTTTGTGGCCCCTGGCAAGTTATAACCAATGAATCATTGTTGAATGAATAAAATGGTCTTAGGATACTGGATAAAAGTTTGTCTGAAATAAGGCATATTTCTTAATTTTACATGTAGGATGCTACATTTTATCAGTTCTCAACTAATATCAAATAAAAACAATTTGAAGAGTGATGATCAGATTTATGTTAATAATGAATTATTATTTGGATTTGTATTCTTGTTTATTTTTGGTTTACTTTGAATGTGGCCTGCCCATTTTTCTTCTGTGTTTCTGTTTTCTGATGATTTCTATTAACTAGATATTTTTAATGAGAAACAACATTTCAAATGACAAAAACCAACAAAGTGAAGCTTTGCTTTTTAAAAATAGAGTTCAGTATAAGGTGGAAGAACAGTTGACGCTTTAAATGCATTCATTGTTTGTGTTTTTGTTTTGATTGTTGTAGGTTGGCTGCCTGGGTATTCATATAAAGAATTGCAGACATTTTACACCTAAGAGTATCCTTTCTTCTGATTTAAGAATCATGGAAATTATATCTCACTGTTTCATTGCTGTATTATAAACCATTCCAAAACTTAGTGGCTTAACACAGTAACCATTTTATTATCATTTTATTGATAATACAACTACTGTGTATTCATTAGTTGGTACTTCTGCCTGATGATATAACAGCTTGGCTATAGTTGTCTGACAGTTCAAAAGGGCTGGAATATCTGAAATGGCCCATTTATATATCTGGTTGCTTTAGTGGGGATGCATGGAAGACTAGACTTGGCTGGAATGCTGAAATGATTGGATCTCTCTCTCTTTCTGAGTCCACCATGTTTTTTTCCTCCTGTGTTAATTTTGATTCAAAAATATATCACAGTAATATATTATTTATCTTGATTACTAGTTTTTGGTGTCCCCTTAAGTTTTGTGCCCTAGGTGTGTGCCTTTCTGGCTTACTAGTTCCAACCCTAGTCATGTTCCATTACATGTTGTTGGTTAATGTAATCATAGAGCCAGCCCAGATTTAATGGCAGGGGCAATAAAGTCCACTTTTGATGTGGGAGTAACAGAAGTTTTTTGGCCACCTAAATCACCATATAAGTTACAGGAAAAAAATTATATCTTCTCATATGATAATGCTAACTTATTTGTAAGTAATATGTGCTTCCTTTAAATATTTTTAAAAGGCTTTATTTTATATTGGTGCTTTTAAATAAGCTGAGTGCTTATTTTTAGATTTATCATGGCATAAAACCAGTCTTATGGAGATTTGATGTTTCTTTTTTATGTAAAGAGAATTTTGGAAAATAATTCTGTATAAAGAGATTTTTGAAAATATTTAAATCATGAAAACAAAATTGTTTTACTCCATACCATTCTATGAAAGATACAATACAAACCAATGTAGTATAAAAGAACTATAGACAAGTGAATTAGAGAATAGAGCACTTTTTATCCCCAAATTAAAAATAAGTTATTCTGATATATTTTTAAATATTTTGAATTTCTACATAATTATGCTTAGGAAAAATTTCAACTATATATTGCATATATTTAGTCACCTTGAAATTAACATATAGAAAAATTTGCAAAGGAATTTTGTTGGAAATGTGAGGTTAAAAATATAAGGGATGTAAGAAAGAATCAACCTTCTTTTACTTATATTGTGTCCACCAGTGATGGGCAAAAATTCTATTTTAGAAGACTTTTTTTCTATTGTTTAATGTACTCTACAATTACCTTTTATGGCCACATGATTGATTCTTAAGTTTTGATCTGAATAATTGAATGTATTAATTTCATAATGTATTATTGTTCAATTACAACAAAACTTATTTCCTAAATAGTATTCTATTTTCAGTTGTTGTTCAATATTATGATTATTTATTTATTTGCATCTCTGTAAATGAAGTTGTGAAATGTACAAAAATGTGTCGCTTGCTATCCGACGACAGTGAGAAGAACACTGCAATTACATTTGATGAAGTAAAGTATTTTTCTGTACAGGTAATGTTAATATCTCTTCTAGATATTAGAATTTCTCCTTATAGTTCCAAATATTGTACTCTATGTCTGTTTATAAAAACAAGTAGGAAAGAAACAAAAGCAGTGAGCACCTTTTTATTTGGTATCTAACAGTATCCTATTTCTATACTATTGGCTATAGTGCTATTTTAAAAAAATACACAATTTACTGTGTAATGCATAATCTTAGTAGATTTCTTTCCTGAGATGTTACTGTCTGTGGTTTCAAATGTTCGTTATGCATGTATTTATCTCTATCTTGCTCTTTTCTTCCCATCTACTGTCTTTCACCTTATAGTTTTCCCCATCTCCTTTCCTTTTCTTCTATCCTGTATTCCCCTTAGTCTCTCTCTAATTATTTTTGCATGGCTTAACTTAGTCTGTATTACAACCTAAACACACACACACACACACACTCATCCTTTTTTTACTGATGAAGAAACTGAGGCACTTTGTGGTTAAGGACCTTTCTTAAAGTTATAGTAAGTGGTAAGTGGTTGAGCTGGGTATGTGGGCAGTCTGGTTTCAGACCACACTTTATTAAACTGCCTCACACACTAGCACTTACTATGTTTCTGTTTACAGTAAAGCTTCTTAGAATCGTAAATGTATCTTAAAACTGAGGCTATGGGGTTTTCTAGATGTAGGATTATGTCATCTGCAAAAAGGGATAGTTTGACTTCCTCTGTTCTATTGGGATGCTTTTTATTTCTTTCTTTTGCCTGATTGCCCCTGCCAGGATTTCCAATGCTATGTTGGCTAACATCAGTGTGATGTTGGCTGTGGGTTTTAATTAGATATTAAAGGACCATACCTCAGAATAATAATATCTTTCTTATTATTCTGAGGTATGGTCCTTCAATACCTAGTTTATTGAGAGTGTTTGATATGTATGGTATTGAATTTTATTAAAAGCCTTTTCTGCATCTATTGAGATAATCATGTGGTTTTTGTCTTTAGTTCTGTTTATGTGGTTAGTCATATTAATTAATTTGTATATGTTGAGCCAACCTTGCATTCCAAGGATAAAGCCTACTTGACAGTGGTAGACAGACTTTTTGATCTGCTACTGAATTCAGTTTGCCAGTATTTTGTTGATCAAGGATATTGGCCTAAAGTTTTCTTTTTTTTTGAATCTTTGCCAAGTTTTCATCAGGATGATGCTGGCCTCATAGAATGGGTTAGGGAGGAGTCCCTTCTCCTCAATTTTTGGGAATAGTTTCAGTAGGAATGATACCAGCTCTTCTTTGTACATCTGGTAGAATTCAGCTATGAATTCATCTAGTCTTGGGCTTTTTCTGGTTGGTAGGCTATTTATTACTGCTTTAGTTTCAGAGCTTGTTATTGGTCTGTTCAGGGATTCAATTTCTTCCTGGTTCAGTCTTGGGAGGGTATATGACCAGAAATTTATCCATTTCTTGAAGATTTTCTAGTTTATTTGCATAGTGGTGTTCATAATATTCTCTAATGGTTGTTTGTATTTCAGTGGGGTCAGTGGTAATATCCCCCTTGTCGTTTCTGATTGCATTTATTTGAATCAAGAAGAGGAAATAGTCAAAGAACTAATGACCCAAGTCTTCCCCAAATTGATTGAAAGCCCATCCATAGATTCAAGAAAGTCAGTGAACTTTAAGTGAATAAGTATAGAAATGATCACACATATGTATATCCCATTCAAACTGCTGAAAACCAAGGACAATGAGAAAATCTTAGACAGCCAGGGGGAGAAAACACATTACATTCAGATGCACAACAGTGTCAGCTGACTCTCCATCAGAAACAATGTAAGTCAGTAGACAAGAGAATGCCATCTTTAGAATGCTGGGGAGGGAGGAAAGTTTAGCCTAGATTTCTATATCCAATGAGAATATATTTCAAAAAGATGGTGAAAGACAAAAGCTGAGAAAATTTGTATCTAGAAGGCATGCACTGCAATAAATAGAAAAGAAAACTTCAGATTGGAGACAAATGATCCCAGGTGCACAGGAGGGAGGATCGCTAGAAATGGCAAATGTGTAGGTAAAAATACAAGACTATTTAAAAAAATTGTCCCCAAAAGACGATTGAGTCTTGTTATTTAAAAATAAAATAATGTCAATGAATGATAGGAATTGTAGCATGTGTAGAAGTGAAATACATGGCCAGAATACAGAGAATGCAGAGATTTAAATAGAATTATACTATTGTACATGGTGACTTAATTGTAATTCAAAATACATTGTGATATGTGAAAAATACATATTATAATCCCTAGAGCAACCACTAAAAGTTTAACAAAATTGTATTAGGAAGGAAGAAAGGAGAAAGAGAGGGAGAGAGCCAGGGAAAATGGGGGAAGGAAGGAGGAAGATGAGTATGGAAACTAAATTAGTGTTAAATTTAAGAACTTAGAAAATGACAGTAAAACCTTAGGAAATCAGGAGGAAGAAATTAATAACAGAAAAGAAACAAATGAGTTATTTGCAATAGTATAGGTGTTAAAGAAATGTAACAATATAAAAGCTAATTATTAACAAAACTAACACAATAGGCACAATTCTGGTAAGTCTCATTAAGAAAATTATGGAAAATTTGGAATATAGGTATAAATATAGAGGCAATTGAAAACTGTAAGAGAATACCATGTATAACTACACTAAAAGTTTGAAAATCTTGATGAAATAGAATATATTAGAAAAATATAAATTACATTATGTTTTAGCTCTATCATTTGTAAACTGGATATAGATTTAAAACATCCAGTCTGACAGTATTTGTATTTTAACTACGTCTGTTAGTGTAATAGTTAATATATGTAATGTTAATGCAGATGTTAATGAAGCATCTGTTACATTTTGTATAATTATAATATATTTGAGTTTAAATCTGTTACCTTCTTTTGTGCTATTTATCACAATTGAACCATGGATTCTTTTTCCTTCTTTCCCCTTTTTTCTTCTTTTCTTCATCTCTGGGATTGAGTACAATTGATGCTTGGACAACATAGACATTGAGTCACTGACCCCCCTACATAATTAAAACTCTGACTTCCCAAGTACTTAACTATTAATAGTCTACTGTTGACTGGAAGTTTTACCAATAATGTAAACAGTTGATTGACACATATTTTGTATGGTATATATTATGTACTGTATTCTTGCAATAATGCAACTAGAGAAAAGAAAAAAAACATCATAAGGAAGAGAAAGCATATTTACTATTCATTAAGTGGAAGAGGATCATTATAAACGTCTTCTTTCTTGTCATTTTCACATTGAGTTGGCTGAGAAGGAAGAGAGGCTGGTCTTGCTGTCTCAAGGGTGACAAAGAAGGAAGTGGTGGAGGAAGTAGAGGCAGCAGAGGGGAGGCACATTTGGTGTGACTTTTATTGAAAAAAAAATCCATGTATAAGTGGACTCATGCAGCTCAAACCATGTTGTTCAGGGGTAAACTGTATTTAACAATTTCATTCTGTTTTTCAACTTTCTTATTGTGGAAATTACCCACTACTCTTTTAAAAAATGGCTATCATAGAAATTATGTATGCTTATCAAATCCAATGTTTAACAATATCTTTATCCTTCATCCTTCTCCTGGGAAGAACAAGGATCATAGAAACTTTAATTCCATTTATCACCCTCAACTAATATGTTATTATCTTTTTTTTTTGTATTTTTATTTTTATTTTTATTTTTTATTTTTTCCCATTTATTTATTTTATTGCATTTTAGGTTTTGGGGTACATGTGAAGAACATGCAAAATTGTTGCATAGGAACACACGTGGCAGTGTGATTTGCTGCCTTCCTCCCCATCANAAAAAAAAAAAAAAAAAGAAAAGAAATCACAGCAGCCTTAGTTTCCCTGCCCCACCCAGCAATAATTAATGCCAGAAGACTGGACACAGGTCTGCATCACGAAGGGGGAACAAGTGAAAGCCAAAGGCAGACTACTCAGACACATCGAGTTCAAGTAAAAAGGCAGCAGGAAGGCATACTCAAATTTGAAAACATCTGAGAACTATAACACCCACCAAAACTTTTCTTGAGAAAATACCGTATAATGAAATCCAACCAAATAGGAAAAGAATAGAAATAAAGTATAGAACAAGAAAGATGTAGTGGCAAATGGCCTCGTGGAAAGCGTTGAATCCATTTAAACAGGAAATCAAGGCCAAGAGACTTATGGTGGGACTCCTTGGGAGGCTGAGCTGGGAGGATGGCTTGAGCCCAGGAGTGGAAGCTGTAGTGAGCTATGATTGCACCACTGTACTCTAGTCTGGGTGGCAGAGTGAGACCCTATCTCAATAAATAAATAAAATTTTAAATCGTGTGTTATAAATGCTAAATAAATAAAATTAAATAACAACAAATGCTGAGGTAGCAGGAAAAAAAAGTGTAAGAAAGTGCAGAAAAAGAAAGTGTAAGTGCTCATCAATTCATTGCTCACAGCTGGGAGTCAATAAATAGTTTCTAAAGCTGACACATGTCTATTATGTTCTTTTCTTAACATTAGAGCAATGTGTTAAAAATAAATATCTCTTACAGAGAATAAGTGAACTTCTCTGTTAAGTTCCATAATTTATTTGATTTTGCTTTAGTTTTCTCCTGTTCGAATAAAATAAAGTTGAAAATTTTTATTAAAACATTTTAAATAGGTTGGGCAAGGTGGCTCATGCCTGTAATCCCAGCAATTTGGGAGGCCAAGGTGGGTGGATCATCTGAGGTAAGGAGCTCAAGACCAGCCTGGCCAACACGGTAAAACCCGTCTCTACTTAAAATACAAAATTAGCCGGCATGGTGGCACACACCTGTAATCCCAGCTACTACTCAGGAGGCTGAGGCAGGAGAATTGCTTGAACCCAGGAGGTGGAGACTGCAGTGAGCTGAGATAGCGCCATTGTACCCCAGCCTGGGCAACAAGAATGAAACTTCATCTCAAAAAAAGCAAAAATTAATTAAAACACTCATTCTGATGTTATTCTTATGAAAATTTTTATGTGTAT